GGAACAAGAAAGGGATGATTTGGCTCATTATAGCAAGTTTACATATGCCATGAAGATAAAATCAAATCTTCAAAAAATTTCAAAGATGTGATCTGTTTTTACAACCCTAATTCATCCTATGATATATATTGAACAAGTGCAGATCAAAAGAGAAGGTTTTGCAGTCGTAGGGAGCAAGAACAAAAACTCAAAATTGGATAAAAAGTGTGCATTTGATTTCTTCCCTAGAGGACGATTCCAAGCCATTCAAAGACCCTAATCACTTCCTGGCCATCTCCTGAAGCCAATAACATCATTTGCAGCCTTCAAAACATCAAGAACCATCGCCTAGACACATCACGGTTTGCAAGTTTTTTTTAAATTCGATTATTACAATTTACGCATCATTATCCCCTTTAATTGTTATATTTGTGATCATTATCATGTTTTTAAGCTGACCACATAGTTTAATTGCATTTTTGGGACCTTTACACGCACCTGCCATTGTTAGGGTTTAGGGTCACGATTTGGGGATTTCTGGTACAGGTAAAATTAGGCTATGAATGAGGTACCATGATGCTCGTGAGGCCTAGATGAGTTGATTGGTACCATCCAATTAATTTATCATGCTCGTATGACATTTTTGAGTTTTGCAGGGCTGTAGTTACAGCAAACGTCTATAGGTATAGGTCAATCACCTAAGACGATGGTTGCAGCGAAGAAGATGATGCGTGGCATCCCATGACTGGCTGATTTGAATTTCACGCGCTTTGGGATCAACTCTTTTGTTTTCATTATATTATGTTTTAGTATTATTGTAATAACAACTAACAACAACAGCTCAACTAGCAGCGCAACACTGATTCAGAGCATAAGGACCTGGGTTCGATCCCAGGTCCCAACACTTCATTTATTTTATTTTCATTCAGCATATCCCATGCAGTGCTCTCTCAACCATCCACCATGCGCTAGCAATTCCTGACCACTGGATGCACTTCTACCCAGATCCAACGCTTCTAGCCTGAAGGTCCATGATACACCTCCAGGTCAATGCTACACCTAATCCAGCATGGTTGACTGGGCTCAGCTTAATGGGCTTGGAAATTCAGATTCTCACCTCCCCAGAATTGCTAACAACACCGGCCCATATTCTTTTTTCTCTATTTATTTCTTTTATTTTAATTGTTTTGTTTAATTATTTTTCACCAAATTAATTACTCTTTTTTAAAATCATAAAATCAACAAATCACAAAATACAAAAAAAAAAGCATTTTTTCAATTTATTTTAATTTATTAGAAATATAGGTTAAGTTGATTTCTTTTATGATTAAAATCAAATAGAATCTAGGTTTTAATTTTACATTTATATTTCTTTTCTCAAATAAAAAACCAAAAAAATACAAAAATCTTTTTGTACAAAATATTTTTTCTTTCTTGAAATTATTTAATTAGAAAATTAGGTTAATTTAATTTATTTCATAATTTAAAAACAATTAGAAATTAGGTTTAATTGAGTTGTAATTTAAATGTTTTCTCAAATAAAAATCCACAAAAGCACTTTTCTCTTGATTAGGGTTTTAGGTTATTTCAATCGTCCTCGCATTTAATTTGCCGCACGCTTGTTAATTATTTGTCCTTTATTTTGTAACTGTCGATGGTTTGTAATAGTTAAAACTAGGGTTTCTATTTATCGCTTTTCCCCGATTTTTGATTATGTAATTAATCCCCCTCCCCGAAGCCTTGTAATAGCTACGTTTTTTTAATTCCTACAAATATTTAATTGTCTAGATGTATGCTAATAGGATTGTATGAAAGGAATGCTTGAAATTTAAAACGGTAGATCACCTAATATGCAAAGACTAAATAACTGAAAAAAGTTCACATGCACATTTTCACTCCTAGGGTTTTCCTCACTACGGTTGCCTTCGGTAAACAGTCATTAAGCATAGGAAATTTTAGTGGTCGCCCTCCTGTCTGAAAGATCAAATGTCCCATTTGAATGTTGCCTCGGAAATGTTGCCTCGGAAATGCTGCCTCGGAAACGTTGCCTCGAAAAGATCTTAAGACTCTAGGGTTACTACTAAGGTTTTCTAACTATTGCTTTAGTGATTGTAGTTGTCCCTTTCAAACGTCCTTTACAACTCCAACGACGGTGCTACCTACTCCTTAATAGTGGGATAGCGTTGTCTAAAGGAAATAGAATGAACAATCTTTTTTTCGAGTAGGTAGAATCTTAAGTACTTGCTCAGTAAAAACTTTTCACACAAACACCTTTCAAAACAAATTTTCAAAACAACTTTGTCACACTCTTGAGGACTGATATAAGGGTTATCAAGAAGTAAAAGCATTTTCAAAACAAGAACGCACAAGCAATTTGAAAAAATGAGCAAGTACCTAAGAGCCCGTAGAAAACCACAGATAGAAAGGGTGCTAACACTTTCCCTTTCTATAATCAACCCCCGTACTTAGAAATATCTCGAAAAAGGTTTTTTCTGTTCTTTTTCCTTCTCTTTGTTGGATAAAATAAAAAGTCAGTGGCCACTCTTTCTTACCGCTACACTTTGCGAACAAAAAACGCAAAATGCAAACCAGTATAACAGTCAGTTCTGCCACCGTATCACAGAACTGGCGACTCTGCTGGGGATTAATAAGTGGGGTATACCTTAGGATCTAGGTCATTAAAATTGCTTCTCTTGACTGCTTTACTTTTGAGGGTTTGTTTGGGGTTACTATAGATCCTACACCCGGATCTAGGGTCACTTATTAGGCAAACAACAATATATCGTGGAGACTGTACGGCGTAGACCGATATGGTTTAAGCGATGGCTGTGTTGGTGTGGCACCCTTTCTATTTATGATTAAAATCAAATAGAATCTAGGTTTTATTTATCACGAAGTAAAAGCATTTTCAAAACAAGCACGCACAAGCAATTTTAAAAAATGAGCAAGTACCTAAGAGCCCGTGGAAAACCACGAATAGAAAGGGTGCTAACACCATCCCTTTCTATTATCTACCCCCCATACTCAGAAATATCTCGAAAAAGGTTTTTTCTATTCTTTTTCCTTCTCCTTGTTGGGTAAAATAAAAGTCAATGGCGACTCTTGCTTACCGCGACATTTTGCGAACAAAAAACGTAAAACGCAAACCAGTATAACAGTCGGTTCTACCACCGTATCAGAACCTCCTTCAAACTTGCTTCAAATTTCCAAGCTTCAATTGAAGCATTGCCTTTTGCTTGTTTGCTTTATATAAGCTTCAATTGGGAATTTGTTTCCCTTGAAACAACCTCCTTCAATTCAAAAGGGAAGGGCCTCTTGTTGGTGTCCTTCAATTCAGAAGTTAGTGGCTTCCTACTGGCTTCTTTCGATTCAGAAGGCATTGGCTTCCTACTGGCGCCCTTCGATCCAGAAGACAAGTCCTTCTCTATGCTTGCTTTTAATTCACAAGACAGGGACTTCCTTCATGCCAGCAGGCACTGGGCAATGGCCTCTTGTTTCTTTCCTTCAATTCAGAAGACAAGTGCCTTCTCTACGCTTGCCTTCAATTCACAAGGCAGGAACTTCCTTCATGCCAGCAGGCACAAGGAAATGGCCTCCTACAGCTTTCCTTCGATTCAAAAGCCAATTGCCTTCTGAAAGATTTCCTTCCATTCACAAGGCAGGAACTTCCCTCGTGATTGCTTTGATTCCACCCTTGAAAACCTCCAACACACATAGTTGGTGGCCCCTTCAAAGGACATGTACTAGTGGACTTGAAGGGCACACACAGATAGCCCATTCGAAGAATTACATGTGACCCCTTCGAAGGATACACATAGTCCAATCGAAGGATACGCATTTGGACCATTCAAAGGATGCACAAAGGGCTCATTCAAAGGACACATATTGCTGTTTGAAAAGGGGTCTGGTCGAAGGATGGATCTAGTTGGTCCAAAACGAAAGAGAAATATTCAAAGATGCTTGCTGCCCAAAAATCCAACATACTGCCAGGCTCAAGCCTCCTGCACAAGCACATTCATGCCAAAGGAAGCTTCGACAAGCCAAAATGAAGTCTTTCGATTGAGCTAGTTAGGCAGTGTTAGAGCAATCGAAGAGAGCGAACTTGGGGGATGATCGAAGAAGCCAGGATGTTGAGGCTTTGTGCAAATTAAATCAAGACTCTGAACAATTCAAATTCGTACAAGGCGCCAATGCAAGAATGTCTAGGTGCATCCAAGTCTCAACATGGCATGAAATCTCATTTTTGGCAATTTTTCAAAATGAGAATTATGGCTTTCATCATGGATTTATGATTTAGATTCTTTCCATGTTTCCTCCTTCACTCCATCTCCTCTATATATACCTCACTCCTACAAGCATCTCACACGCCTAGATTTCCTATCGAAAGAACACACATATCACTGCCTGAAAGAAGCCACGCGAAAATCACAAAAATACATCAAAGTTGTAAAATTCAAACAACAAGTTCCAGGCCATCCCACGCTCAGAATCCCATATCGAAGCACCTCCAGTTGGTAAAAACACTACAACATTTATTGTCTCTGGCAACACTTTTTTAGGTTACATGTAAAAATTGTTGCCTCAAATTCGTATAGGCAACAATTTATAGTTGTTTCCAAAAATATATTTGCAACCCTTGATAATCGTTGCCTAAAATACTATTGGGGACGTTTTTGGAGCGTCATTCTTTTATTTTTTTGGCAACGATTGTTAATTGTACCCTTAACTGCTTCTGGGGACGATTTTAGAGCGATAATATATTACTTCTTTAACAATGTTTGATAATTGTCCCCTAAAATACTTTTGAGGACATTTTTAATTGTTACATTAGTTATAATAAAAGGCTACACTTCTTCAATGTTGCATAAAATTTTAGCACCATCAAATTTTTGGTGGGAATCTTCCCTCCAAAACTTATACCCTAAAAAACAAATATTTCCCTCTAAATATTATTAAAATGAATATATATATATAACTATAAAAAAGGTGCACACTTTTTTTTAGAATAAAAAATCTAAAAAATAATCAGACATATTCCAAAGAAAAAAAAAGTCAAACAAATTGAAAAGGAAAACGAAAGTTCTCCTTCTTCAAACATCCTACCGCCGAATCTCATCCTGAACCGTGTTGTCGACTCATCTCTCCAGTTGATTCTTTCAGTGTTCACAGTTGTTGATGATGATGCCTTCTGCTCATGCGACTCTCCCCCTTCCTGCATCGTAACCACCCAGTCTAATCACGTTCGTCGCGCCGCTTTCGAGTCCATCGACATCACCGTCTTTCTTCCAACGACGACATATTCTATTTCATCTCTTTTACTCTTTATTACATTTGCATTTTCATTTTCTCATTTTTTAATTATTTCTCTCTAGGTCGTTTGTGTAACGTCGTCATTTCTCGGTTAAAGCTCAATTAGGTATTTCATCAGTTTCAAATTATTTGGGAAAGAAACGTTATCGTTTTATTGACTAGATTTGTTGTTGTTGTTGTTATAGTGAAGGATGTTGTATAGAAATTGAAGTCGCTTTCAGCTAAGGATAAACTTTTGGCTTTTGTTGCTGTTGGAATCAAGTTGAAAGATCTTTAGGTAACAGAATCCTGTCATTTTTCTCCTTCATTTCCTCTTATAGAGTAGAATTCTTTATTATAAATTTACACAAGCTTGAGTTAATCTGTTTTACAAGTTATATAGTCTATTTGTTGTATATAAGTTGAAATTAACAATGCTCAAACACCCGACACGAACTGAAAATAACACTGACAAATACATTGGTAGTAATAAGAAAATGTCAAATAGAAATAGTTGAATATATCATGTCTCAGGATCAGACAATACTTCAACTTGAAGTACCAATAATATATAGAAACCAAGTAAAAATCAAGCAACGTTGTTGAGCAATAAACATGTAGACCTCCAAAGCTTTCAGTTGGACGAGGCCTGTAGGGCCAACATGTGTTAGAAAGCAATAAACATCAATATAAGTGATAGCTCTTTTTAGTTTTTATAATTATATATGGACCAAAATTAAGAGATACTGGAACTTTCAAGAAACAATAATCCTAAAAATTGAATCTAACTCTTTGAAGAAGCACACAAGATATCACAATAATGACAAATCTTATACTCAAAACAAACCAGTGTATTATATGAACATATTCAATCAAGGACTAAGTCATTTTTTATAATACAATGAATACGCAATCACAAGTTTTAGGCTCTTAATGACGTGGACATGTGAAAAATACATAAACCAACTGCAAATAATGTCTACAGGTGAAAAAATAGATAAAGTAATTAATCCTAATTCGTGAAATGCTAAAAAGTAGTCAATCTTAACTGCATTATATACATTTGCAGCTTAAAACGATACTTCACTTCTTCTCGTTTTTCTCTTAGTGGCTGCATTATGTTTAAGCAAACTACAACATCAACATTAATTTTTCAACAAGCAAACACATCATAGAATTGATATATACAAAGACAACCTTAAACTATCTCTTCCATGAAGTAACATATGTAACATAGTTTAGCTCATCTGATATTCTAGTGTGTTTCTGATGCAACTCCGAAATTGGAAATATAGTTTGAAGCTTCGTTTCCAAATCAGTTAGAAACGAGATTATCCCTATATCTACTATTCTACTTTAGTGTATTGAGGTTGGCCGCTCCCCGCGTCTATCCTGTTAAGACTGGTTTTGATATGAAAAATGCCGGTGTTAGAAACTGGTTCTGATATGAATAAACACCGGGAAATGCTACTCTTTAAGAGTTACATACAATACAAGACAGTACTCTAATTGTCACAAACAACCCCTAGGAATTAGAGAGCCTATTGTCGCCCAACCCAACCAACATACAGAATACCTAATCCCCTCCCTTTTCCTTTCAGCCTATATTTATAACTATTAACTTTTTTCAGCAGTTTTTGACTTCCTGCAGATGTTAGACAGCAGTTACTGCAAATTCAACATTTAACAATAATAAAATAATTTGCCTACTACTAAAACATAATTTCTGTTACAGCATTAACTTGATTTATATGCTTCTTTCTGACATAAGTCCTAGTGATAAGAGGCCTTTTACTAACACATCCATTGTTAGTTTGTGTTTAAAACAATTAAATTTTATTGCAATTGTTGAGTTATTGTGATGTGAAGTCATGTGGTTAGGACTTAGAAACTTGCTTTGTCTATTACTAGCAATAGCAACCAAATTATGAGTCCTTGGCTTTTTTTCTTTTTTCATTGAAACTGAATGTTATGAACAATGACACCCCTTTAATTTCTAGAAGCAAGTTTTAGCTATTATCTGAACTGGACTTTAAGATAAACTTAGCTTTTGAGTTATTATGTCTATAAAATTGAGCATATGTATTCTACTGAGTTTCTCAGCTGGTTTTGGGATGATCAAGAATTATTATCACCTATATGATATACCGATGAATCATACAAAGACATCTTTTAACCCGTATGTGTATTAAAGATGTCTTTACATGTTTGGTTTTTCTTGTTTCTACATTTGTTCTGTGTGGCTTGTTATATTGATGATGGAGCATGGGTTTGATAATTGTTAATGATGAGGGACTAGTTATTATGGTAACAAAAGTCATGTTTGTCTCTCTTCATTTATGCTATTTGTTTATGACATTTTGTTCTTTTTTCTCTTCAAGGTATCTTTTCTCGTACATGATGAATGTGTTGTTGGGTTTATGATGAATGTATCAACTAATAAGTAGCAATTATTTGATTATGCTGCTAAACTAGAGTTTGAAGTGTCACTGTTGTTACTACTGAAGAACAATTATTTTAATCATTATTGTTTCTATGGTCTATTAATCCAATAAACCCCACCACTTCAACGTGTACATAATATAGCCATTAAACTAGAAATTTGAGATAAGCAAGCTGTGGTAATTTACTCATAACGTTTTTTTTGGTTACGTTTATGAAGTTAAAATGTGTGTGATTGTAGATTTTCTCCAACTACAATTTTTCCCCTTAATGACAGTGGCTTTGAAGAACTCCTTAAATTATTGATACTTGAATCATTAGTCTGTATTGTATCTATAAATAACTATCGAGTATTTAGCTGCTGATTTAAATAGAAGAATTCTGATAATCTGATGGAAGATTCTTGTCCAGGGCATATATCAAGTGTGATGATTTTTGTTGATACAAGTGGAGAATCCTTAAGGAAAATGCAAAATTCTGGGGTAAGCTTTTGGTTTCTCTCTTTTTTATTAATGTGTTTTGTATTCTTCGAATACTACTTCCCAGCATAATGATTCCTTTGTTTAATCTTCATATCCATATCAGTTTCGAAAGCTTATATTAGTTGGTTCTCAGAGATTTAATTTTTTTAAGCCGATTGAAAGTTTATTCAAATAATAAATACTGCCTCAAAAGATTTCACCTTGCTTTTCACATGGGCTGTAAGTGAAATGTTTTTTTGTTGGCTCTTTACTGTTACAGTATGTTTCTTGAGGTATTGAGTGCAACCAATTTGTTGTGTACATTCAGAATTCTGTTGGAGGGCAATCTGAATTTACTGGTCATCACTTCAACTCAAAGATAAAGTAAGAAAATTGTCTGTTGGTTTACAATCTACATGAAGATGTTCCCATTTGATTGCTTTCCCCATCCCCACACCTTGCCTTTACTTCATTCTAACATTCAAGATACATATTACCTCTTGCTAAGAGGCCTGATGGCGTGCATGGTGTGCTTCTACATCACAAGTAACTCTCTAACTTGTTAATACACTTTTAGGCAATGGATGAAAAATTAACTGATACATGCATCTACAGGACTGCAAATGAGCAATATCTGCTCACATTTGCAATTGCAGCAGAAGAGACTGAATATATTCATATCTCAGAATGCTCTATCTTTGTTATATCTGGTTCTCACAAAGGCATCTCCGCGAAGGACATGTGGCATGAAGTTAAACAGGTTATGAACCTGCTTTCAGATTTTATTGATCTTTGTTTTTTTGAAATGTCTATGTTCGGTGTTATTATCATCAAGTTATTCATTCTTTATTTAGGCTGTGTTGCCCCATATAAGCTATCACTATGCTCCAAGCATTTTATAACACAAGTACTTGAAGACGTGGATGAATGAGGTGGAGTACATGAAGGGATAAATGAATAACGTGTCATAAATGCCAAAAGGTATACACCTGTCATGATATACTATTTTTGAAGTTGAAAACATGGATAACACATGGGTGTAATTTGATTCTATAGGTATTGCTGTCAATGTTGCAAAAGAAAAACATGCACTTTTTAAGGACAATAATTATGCTCTTTCTTGATATCCTCTCATGTGTCATGTGTTTCGATATCATGCTTTTTTAATTCAACTAGTGTCATTGAGGTATAAATCAACTTATGTACCCAACAGGTATCCCACTTACAACAGTTGTTATTGGGTATTAATGCATAATGTATTTTGCTCGTTATTTTTGTTGTTTATTTGTGCAAGGTTTAATTCTTATTGATGTCCTAATTGTCCTTTGGACCAAAAATATTTATGGTTGATGTATTTTGTTTTATTTTCTTATGCAACAAGGTATTAATGAAGATTTTGAAAAGGACGATATAAATGATGAAATTCAAGAGGACGGCGTAGATGCTAGATTTCAAGAGGATGTTATAGGTGATGAATTTCAAGAGGACGACATAGATCTAGATGATGAATTTGAAGAGGACGGTGTAGATGGTGAATTTCAAAAGGATGACATAGATGAAGAATATCTGGAGGACGACATATGTGATGAATTTCAAGAGGAAGATCTAGATGACGTATTCCAAGAAGACAAACTTGAATGAATTGGATAATGTCTTTTTTTTGGCTTGTAGTTGAAAGCATTAAACTTGAACTATGTTTTTTGTTCTTCTGCTGAACTTTGTTTTTTGTTATTTTACTAGGGTCATACTTCAAAGTATTAAACTTAGTGTTATAAGTAATGTTATGTTAGACATTTAGTTTAGTGGATAGTATCTTAAATTAGTGTTTGAACTCGATTTTATTATAATATAACTTTTGTGGAGGTACGGTTAAATTTGATATGGTTTAAATTACAATCGACAATTTTTTAAGCCAGTATTCATCGACTAAATTATTTAGAAAATAATTGCAAAATTGTATATTTTATATGCACACTGTAAAACAACAACCTATAAGTTATGGCTACACTTTAAAAACGATCCTCTTGATTCATATTTAAGGCAACGGTTATTAATTGTAGCCGTATATGGAAACGCATAAAAAGCGTCACCTTAGAGGCCATAAATAATCGTCCCCTATTCCTTTAATTTAGGCGACGCTTTTAAAAAGTGTGCCCAGAGAACATGAAAAAACGTCCCCTTAGGCTATAGGCAACGCTCGCACAGGAGACGCCTGGAAAACGTCTTCTATTCTTTTAGGCAACGATTTTCAGAGTTCTAACAACGTTTTTCAAATGTTGCCAGAGGCAACAAATGTTGTAGTGAAAAATTTCAATCTCATTCAATCTATAATGTAAACTCATGTGGATTGCATATTCATGGTATTCCTGTTGTTTATGAATGATTTAATGCAATATATGTAAGTTGCAGCACCCAGATGCTAGGATACCATTACCAGGGGTCTTTTGAAATAGTCATTTTTGAAACTCATGATGCAGACCATTGCAAATTAAAACAGCCCCAGATTCGGGTTCTAGGGTAATTTCGATTGCGATAGGTTTTCGTTTGTTCTTTTGAAATTAACAGAATTCACAGGACTCCATGTTGGTGTCATTTATTTCGATTGACAAGTTCGCCCAGTGGTAACGGATGCACTCATAGAGCTTTCACTTGGCAGGTCTTGGGTTCGATCCCAGTTTACTGCATTTTGTTTTTTTTCTAACATTTTATTTATAGATCTGATACGTACAAGCCAAATACACTCACCATGCACCTTCAAGTATGTGCTTCCAGATGTTAGCGTAGCCAGATCTAATGCTCTCACGCGCAGACTACCATGGGCTCCCCAAAACTTCTCCTCACTGAATCACAAGGCAAAATTGGGCTCCTTTCATCACTGGGCCTACGTTTTACAACATGCACCCCCACTTAATTAGAACTTAGGATTTTAATTCATTTTCTTTTCATAATGAAAATACAAAAAAAAAACATTAGAATTAATTCCCTCTAGACGTACTTTTTCATACCTTAAGATTTTTAGACGTGCTTATTATTCACGCACGTTATTACTTTTTGCATGTTTTTATTTCCAAATTATTGTAACTGCTCACAGTCTGTAATAGCTTAATTTAGAAGCATTGTGATAGTGTAGATTTGAATTCCCTCACTTTAAATTCCTGTACATATTAAATGCTTAGAGGTATGCCTAATAGGATTGCATGACAAGAACATAAAAATAAAATGTTAGCAAACCTAACACTCAAGACAAATAACTGAATATAACACAATTGCACATATGCACCTCTAGGGTATCCCACTTGGGTTGCCTTCGAAAAATAGTAATAACTCTCGAAACGTGAGATATTTTAGTGGCTACCCTCCGGTTTAAAATATCATAAGCCTCTCGATGACCCTCTCGACGTTGCCTTAGTAAAAATATGATCTTAGAACCCTAGGGTAGTTACTAAAACTTCTTGCCAAGTTGCCTTTGTGACTATAAAAACGTCCCTTCGAATGTCCCTCAAACATCCAACGATAGGGCTACCTACTCACTAATAGTAGAATGGCGCTGTCTAAAGGATAGGAGGAAAAGAACAAACCTTTCGAGTAAAAGTAGATAGTTCCTAGATACTTGCTCAAAACAAATTTTCACACTTACACAAAAACAACATTCAAAAACTTTTTCAAACTCTTTATAAACACTCTTGAGGACTGATACAAGATTTATCATAAAGCGAGTCGCTGCACTAAGGCATTTTTTCAAAATACTTTTCCAAACACACAAAAGCACAAGGTATTTCAAAAAATTGAGCTAAGCATCTAAGAGCCCGTATAAAACTACGAATGGAAAGGGTGCTAACACCTTCCCTTTCCATAATCTACCCCCTTACTCAAAATTCTCAAAAAGGCCTTTTTCTGTTCTTTTCACCCTTTCCTTTGTTGGATTAAAGAAAAGTCAGCGGCGACTCTTGCTTACCGCAACATTTGCGAACACAAATGCAAAACCAGTATAATAGTCGGTTCTACCACCGTATCACAAATGTCATCTATAATCCTATCTCTGACAACTCTTCATCACCTCTTTAAATGGCATCTTTAAGCCCATTCCCTTCACAATAAACTAATACATTATCGAGTGCAAATTTCTTAGCACTCTAGTGTTCAATCATCTTCCACCTTCAAGTCATGAATGGTGGACTCGCCAATCTAACTCTTCAGGTTTAAGAATATTGAACAGGGGCAGCTGTTGTACCCTAAAATTTACCCTCTCTTTTCTCAAGACATTTCTAACAAGATTTTCAAAAGCTTGAGTTTGCACAAGTAAAATTCGACTTTTAATGCCCCATATAGTTTCCATGGATCATATTAGGCTTTCAAGCATCAGGTCAAAGAGGAAACTGTCCAAAGGGCAAAATAGATAAAAAAAAGGTGTGCAGATGCAGATAACTATGTCAAATTCAAAATCTGGTTCAGGCTGATCGAACCACTTGACTGATTGAAAGAGTTGGTTAGCAGATTTTTGACAAATCGAAGAAGAGCAAGCTTGCTTCGATCCACAAGCTTTGACTGGGAAATGGCTTCCTTCGAGCAACTTGCTTCGATCCACCTCTAAACCTTTCGACACATATAGTTTTGACACTATGGATTACAAGTCTATCTGCATGCTTGCTTCGATCCCCAAGATTCGATTGGGAAATGGCTTCCTTCGAGCAACTTGCTTCGATCCACAAGGATAGTTGGTTGTGGCATTTGAAGTTTGGACATTTGAACTTTCAACCACTTAGTCAGTTGATTACTCAAGATATGGTTACTGGTATTCTAAGTCTTGAGATGCCTGAAAAAAACATTGTGAAGTTTGTCTGGTAGGAAAGCAATCAAGAAATTCTTTCGTTTTGACTATGCCAATGAGACTATCTGGCATACTCAAAGTGGTACATTCAGATGAATGTGGTCCATTCGAAGGACATAACGTTGGTGGAAACAAATATTTTTTTGCATGATGTTGAGTTTGGTCAAAGGTTCAGATGAATGTGGTCCATTCAAAGAACATATAATTGGTGGAAACAAATATTGTTTTGTCTGTTGATGAGTTTGGTCGAAGGTTGTGTGGTCCATTCGAAGAACATACAGTTGGTGGAAATAATATTGTTTTGTTTGTTAATGAGTTTGGTCGAAGGTTGTGTGGTCCATTCGAAAAACATACAATTGGTGGAAACAATATTGTTTTGTTTGTTGATGAGTTTGGTCGAAGGTTTGTGGATCTATATGATCAAAACGAAAGGGTGGAGTATTCCAGATGCTTGCTGAATAAAGTCCTATATGCTGTCAAGCCCAAGCTCGATGTACTGTCCGCATAACAGCCTAAAACCATGTCAAAAAGCAGTCTACTGCACTGCTATGAAACAACCCTGCACCAAGTTGCCACAACACTCCAAAACTGTTGCAAAACAGTCCTGCTATGCTGCTCCTAAAACAGTCCAAGCCTGCATTATCTTAGCCCCATATTTTCACAGAATTAGCACATAAGAGCTGCATAAAAAAAGTAATGGAAGAACATACCCAAACAATTCAAAATTTATTTGTTTTTCCCCCCAAACCCCCATCAAGACTCTTCTATAAATAGGTTGTTTCACCATACACAAAGGGGGCTTTTGGCAAGGAAAAGGAGAAAGAAAAAAAGAGAGAGGAGAGAACACGAAGGTTGAAGCCTTAAAACACTCTTAAAGCCAGAACAAAAAAAACATAACACCTATGTTATTTTCTTTCTTTCGAACCCAAGAACATTCAAGGAAGCAACTCAAGTTCGAAACACAAATTCCAGCTTCAAGGTAAGTCTTCTTGACTCTAAACCCTTTGTTTCAAGCACCATTGGTGATTCATCTTCGAAGATAACATGTAATAATCATTGTCTTCGAAGATACCC